CATGCACACAGGGTCACACACACCCAGGCTCAGAAATGTTAGACAGTGTCCATTACANGTGTTTGCCCAAACAGGGAAAGTAACACACAGTTTAAAACCGACAGATGCATAAGACAAATTAAGATATATATATATCCTTAATCAACAGAATGCTGTTTGCATCTGTCGGTTTTAAACTGTGTGTTACTTTCCCTGTTTGGGCAAACACTTTTCAGTTTCCAGTATAATTAACAGCCATGCTATTATGTTAACTCTTATTGCCTGTTAAATGCGTTGGTCTTAAATGGTTGTAGCCTATAGGCTCAACGATATTTCCACTATTTCTCACGAATGGCCTTCCATTAAGAGCGATTAGATTATGTCTATTGAAAGTTGCTGATCCATAGAAAAAAGCCAGCGGATAAAAGGCGATTTCAAGTGACCTTCTCGTCCCTTTCACACCAATCTGAGCCCCCAGAATAATTTGGGGATCAGTTTTGGACAAAAAGAAGCCCCCCACCACCACACACACACACGCACGCACGCACGCGCGCACACACACACACACACACACACACACACACACACACACACACACCCACCCCTCGCCCCCTCCTCCCTTTTCAACACACAACCACTCAAAGCAACAAAAGAATGAGTTTGAATTATTTTTTGTTTAAATGAGGACTTTCTAAAATATGATAGTGCTTGTGTTTGTTTTGTGTTCATCGCAGTGCGCACGGTTGAAAATCTGCCTTTTTTCTCGATTTCCGCAAGTGCCATTTAATACATTTAGCTTTTACAGGTGCGGAGGAAAGTTACACGAACTTTGTTGTAACAACTAAATAGTCACTTATGACACTATGTCATAATCACTTTTGTTTAAATAAGGTCGAAGACCTTTATTTCATTTTATATTTTACGATTTTAGCGTCATTTAAAAACAAATTCCCCCCAGCATAAATCAATATGTCACTGCAGGGTTACTGCTTTCATGTAGTCAAAAAACAATACTAAAGCCAAGTACATCTCCATACTGCTTTGCTTTATGCCATATATCAACAACACGGCCCTAATGTAAGAGTCCATGGGCTCGGGAAATTATTCTACAAATGTCCATCTCCACTAAATGACATAATAAAGCGAAATGCCATTATCAGCGGCATTTACTAACTTAATCTTAAATCCCTTTATTAGAAATGAAAAATAACTTTAGTGACAAACTTCTTAATATACACACCCCAACAAGTGTAACGTTATGTTTGCAGATGCATCGTATTGTATTTGCTACACATGCTCGGTATATGACTATTAATCAGCTTCTATTATTTAAATAGACTGGACCCAGCATGGAGATGTGTAACAATGCTAGGTGTTCATCACTTTATTCGTTTTGGTTGTTTATTCATTTTAGTTTTGCAGGCAGGCGTTGAGGTCGCAGGGATCAGCATCAGCTTGATGTGGCCCTCTAGTCCAGCGTCCAGAAACATGACCCTGGTGTGCAAACAGGAGGTGTTTTGAGCAGAGGCCACATGCAAGAGCGAAGCAACCCATATGATATATTTTTGGCTATGCTGTGGATGTATCCTGGTGTGCTTACACGCAATCAATACTAAACAGACCCTCAACCATTCCTAAATCCTTACATCCGGATGTATCGTTTTACATTTTCTAAAACTCATCCATATAGTCACGTGTTGTTTATTGGGGGACCTTGCACTTGTGACCTCAGTGTCTTCTCTCTATGCTGCTGGTTAGTTTCTGCTTGGAACTACATTTCGTGAGTTTTACAACGTCATACTGTAAGAGCATCAGAACTTGATCATCACATATTTGGCCAAACTGACTACACCTATCAATTTCAACTATCATGAAATTGTAACAGTTAGGCTATATATAAACTATGGAGAATTCAATTTGGATTACAATAGAAAGAGTCAGATAGAATTTCAATATTCCACGATCACTAATTATCTGTTGCAGAGATTACAGTAAAACGACTGCTAATGCGCAAAAGACTCCATTACCTGGACATGTTTAATAATAATGTGATTATGTAATTATATGCATGTTTTTAATAATTTAACAGCCTGTGCATATTTTGTTTCCCAAATAACAAAAGGTAGAATAACTAGAGAAATGTAAATTACAAATAAATCTTACATGGCTCACGTGGAATGATTATTAGCATGAACTTTATTCACCCATGAGAGGATTAAGTTAAATCTTATTATAGTTATTTTTACAAAGCTGACTGGCGTTCAATTTGTCCTGTAGTAAGTGGTACACATTGCTACACACTATATTTTATATCAGTTCTCATTTCAACCCCTAAACATTAATAATGCTGCTTTGATAAATTACATTGTGTGTCCTCTTTCATTCCCTCGCTGCAATCTTTTCTACGTGTTTTTGCCGGTGCGTGAGATTTTGCACCAAACTATAATATTTGCATCTGACAATGTTGTGGCTAAACTGGCGTTTCGAAAACAGCGTAAAATATGGGTTTCGGCTGCTCTCTTTGATCAGCCTTTTAATCCGGTGACACTATCGCTGGGACAAACAGCCTGCTATCGATCTTTTCATTATGTGTTCAAACAACAAATAGCCTTGCAGGTGAGGTGCACGGCTCGAGCGAAAAATATAGACTCCCATGTCCAGCGGTACTACAAGCCGCTTGTAAAAACTACTATCTGATCTACAAATCAGCGAGGACAGTTGGAAAGCGGTGAAATAAGTCCAACATCCGGGGAAAATATCTAGTTTTAAACTTGTGACTCTGACACTGCCCGGGTCGGCTATGTGGTTTGAAGTTAACGGTCATGTTGCGTGACCATTTGCCTTGTATTCAGATGTGTGTATAACGTAGGAGAAGTGAGAAATAAACATTGTACTTGCCTTAATGGTGTCTGGTTTTATCCAGGTTGAGGGCTGCTGCTGTTCTGGTAACCGCCGTCGCCGGTGCTTCTTCTTTTAATGTCCTGCTGTCCACTTTCTCCTTTTTCTCTCGCCGTTTCCCAGCTTTCTATTAGAACCCCTACCCTGCTCCCATTCGCTGCCCCTCTCACGCTGCTCTCCTCTTCTCCCGCGGAGCCCCTTTCCAATCTGTGGAGTTAAATCTTAATGATACACTTACAGAACAAAATCTTTGTCCGATTTAATCTTATTGGTTTCACCTTTTCAAAGAGCTGGAGATATGGCCGGGGAGTTCTAGTGGAGTGTCCGAGACAGGGACGGGAGAGAGAGCTCTCTTGTTGAATACTTAAAAAAACAACCCATCCCTCCTATGCGTTTCTAAAGGGGCACTTGCATACTTACGCTCCGTTTTGTCTGCTAATAGCTTTTATGTGGTTAAAGATCTGTTTACAACAACTAGTTTATTTGTTCTAAATAATAATTTGATGTATTTTTTAATGATTCTCTTTTTCCACCATGTGTGTTTTAGGGGTTTTGGATATGATTTTTGCAAAGCGTTTTCACTTTTTGGTACATTTAAATAACATGTAATCAATCTTTTGTGCACTTTTGTGACAAGTTGTTTTTTGTTTTAGTATGAGTTTTACTTGTTATTTTTCTTGAGCGTTTCTTTGCTCCATTATTATATCAAAAGATTGTACTTTTCAAAGTGAAAAAGAGGAAAGGAAACGGTACGCAAAAATAAGGCTTAGTTTATTTTTATTATTTTAACTTTATAGTATTACAAATTCATGTTTGATGACTTGTGCATGCATTCATATGAGGTTGTAATTGTACAATGTACGCTAGATGGCAGCGCGATCCAGACATTTTTTAGCTGGAGCGGTAGTAACCCCGCAGAAACCCTCATACAAAAAAAGCCGGAATCCCCATGCAAATTCCCAGCAACTTCACATGATTTTGAATTACTGTCATTATTAAGACATAATGTGACACGAGCTCAGTGATAGTGGAGACTATAGGACCTCGGTAATTATTGGGTATTGCTTATTGCTCCGTGTAATTTTTGAGATATTGGGCTACTGACTCGGCATCCCGTTTGTAAAGCACACTCTCTTTCATGCATCATTCTCCCCATTGACATTTTCCTCCCTTTAAAATCTAATTTTAACTAAATTGTAAGTTTAATCAGCGACAGTGTGCAGATTACAGACGAGAATGTACCGCAATGCGCATGCCAAAGACAAACAACGTGTGAACATATACATTCGCTTCAATGCAATACTGACACCCGTTATTTTTCATAAAAAATATATGAGTCCAAGACAAACCATTTTGAAACTTTGGCTAATTTTTGGAGCCAGAGTCCCCCTTTCGCTGTTGCGGACAGTTTTGGGGTTTATTTGTCGTGCGTAAAAGCTTTGTCCCCCCTTGCCTTTACCCCGCTTTTTTCTGCTATTCTATTCAGGATTTCTTCCTCTTTTTGGTGACAATAGACGGCCCATACTAATCAGGTTTCAAAGTAAATAGCAGCGCGGGGCGAGCTCAATGTAAATTGTGGCTGTCAGAGCCCCCCAGCCCCTCCAGCCGTAGATTGCAACACTGCAAAAAATATCCATCCCCTGACATCAGTCAGTCCAGTATTGAGTCTGGAAATCTTGGATTTATCTGAATAAGACACCGAATCTTCCATCGAAGCAAGGTGTTTCCACTTGTTTCCAATGCCAATCTGCCCATCACTGTAAATTGTATTACATCATTGTTCATTTATAAAGGAATCTCCCTTCATACGCTGCTTTATTTCAGGATATTAACTCCTAATTATTCTACAAATGAGTCCGACTGCGAATACGAACAAGCATCATTTTCTTAACTGCACTTGCATTTTTTTCTATTTTCAGAAAAATATAACATTTCAACATTTGAACACGAGACCCAATGACTTAATGAGATGGACATTTTTTGCAGTGAATGAACGGAGGGGGACTCTAACCAATGGAGAGGAAGAGAGGGCTTGGCTATAACCTTAGCCTCCCATTTTCTCTCTCTCCCTATCTCCCCCCTCTCCTCCTCTCCTCCTCCTCTATGCAGGGCTCTGGCCAGTCAGTCGCCTTTGATTATCAGTCTCCAGCAGCCCCTCTCTTGGCTCCTTGACATGAGCACCATATAAGGCGCAGCGATCTCCATAGAAACGTGTCAGTTTCAATAGTAGTGTCAAAGTTCACTATATACAGACATTCGCGCAGATCCCCCGTTTCGGAAACATTGCTCTGCTGGTCCTCCCGTTTAAGCGCATTCATTTTTGGGTCTCTCCTTCTTCTTGCATATTCTATTAGTTGTTGCTTTTGGTCTTCTTTTTTATCTTTTCTCTTCGTATCTCCATTCCTCCTGCTGGAGAGAGGTGAAACTATACATGGGCACTTCGTTCGGCGACGCGGTTTTCTTTCGCTGCTGGGCGAGATGATGAGGCTTATTTAAGAATATAGATGTAAAAATCCGGCACTTCAGTTTTTCCTCCACTCCTATACGACGAAGACGGGAGTGTAAAGGAGCAAAGGGAAGAAAAGAGAAAGGAATTTATCTCCGCAGCACTTTGGATCGCGTGTCTTTCCAGCAAAAGGTTTTTTTCTCCTGCCTTTCCTTTGTGGCTATTTTATATCAAACTGCAATTTGTTACGACTGGACACTGGTTCTCCTACAAGATTAGGGATTCCTGAATGGCTGGCTGCAATATACCTTGGAACTGGCCTCCCGATACTTGCAAATCTTGATCGGGTGCCTATTCAATCGCTCTCCTGTATTCTGAATGTATTGATCGCGTCCTACTCTGCTTCTTACCCTATATGAGATTGCGTACTCCGATTTGACTTTGCACTGCCCCGTCTTTTGAGATCTCGTTTTTTCCTCCAACGCTTCATAAACACCGGCGAACATTTCGCTTTATAGCACTTTCAGGGGCCGAGATATGGCAATGGTAGTTAGCGTCTGGAGAGATCCGCAGGAAGACGTGGCCGGAGGACCTCCGAGCGGCCCCAACCCAGCAACGCAGCCGGCGAGGGAGCAGCAGCAGACGGCGTCGGCAGCGCCGCACACTCCGCAGACCCCCAGCCAGCCGGGACCCCCGTCCACACCGGGGACCGCCGGGGAACAGGGGAGTAAGACTTCTGGATCGACTGCACAGCATATTGAATGTGTGGTTTGCGGGGACAAATCGAGCGGCAAACACTATGGCCAGTTCACCTGCGAGGGATGCAAAAGTTTCTTCAAGAGGAGTGTACGGAGGAACTTAACATACTCATGTCGTGCCAATAGGAACTGTCCCATTGACCAGCACCACCGAAATCAGTGCCAATACTGCCGGCTGAAGAAATGTCTAAAAGTGGGAATGCGGCGGGAAGGTGAATATATTTTTAAAGCCCCTCATGATTACGCATTGCATAGTAGCAGACGAACAGGGCTGCCATGTTGCATTAAGGTCACAGGCATATGGCTGGGCATACTGCAGTCTCCATCCATGTTTTTTAGGGATGTTTGCATGAATGATTAGTATGTTCTGCCTCTGTAAAAGAGGTAAAAGGCCAGTGCAGCCACAGCAGTTATGCTTGTGAATGCAGGTCGTCTTAACAAAGCGGCTCGTTTAGCTGACCCCTTTATTTAGTTTTTCCTTGCAGACTAAATTGTAATATTATCAAGCAAAGAAATTCTGAACAACAGGGCATTTTTACGTATTTGTTTTAGAACAGAGGTTGATGTCTGCCCGTCTATGTGTGTGTGTGTGTGTGTGTGTGTGTGTGTGTGTGTGTGTGTGTGTGTGTGTGTGTGTGTGTGTGTGTGTGTGTGTGTGTGTGTGTGTGTGTGTGTGCAGTGTGCAGGGCTAATAGTCCTTTCCATATATATGTGTAGTTTACTCATTTATAATTGTAAAGTGGGTTTTGTAATCAGTGTGTGAATGTAAAATGAACACACTACAAACCCACGTCTCTAGCTCCTTATGCTGACTAGACAGCTCAGACACACTGAATAATGCCGCTGAAGTTGTCCATGGCTCATTGTTTTGCCTGGTGCAATACAGGCCGTATAACTTTCCTCTCTGTGGCAAGGGTTTTGTTCCAATTCATGCAAACACCCCTTATTTAAAATCAACTTTTTGCTGTAGAAACAGCAAGCCCACGTGTAATGTAACACCAGTAACATAAATATTTTATTTATTTAATAATAATCAATAGCTGAATTCCTTTTATTCCCACCTGACCTTTGGGTTTTGGTAAAATGTCTAAATGTTTTTACATTAATCAGTAATTATCAATCACATTCGTAATATGTTTGACCACAATGATAAATTATTAATATATACAAAACCCCACGTAAATAAAATGGCCAAGTAATACAAGTAGACTGTTGCCTACTATGCAATGACGCCGTGAAATACTTATTAAAGTATGTGTTAATCTTTGTCTTTGTATAGCAGAAAATGTAAATTGACTATAACAGTGATTGTATTTCCATGTTGTGTACATGTAACGTGCAACTCTGAATATAAATGCAAACAGTGTGATGGTTGAGGGATAAAACCCATCAGATTTGATGAGATCTTTATGCTGTCGATAAAATAATTTGCTCTTACAAATGGCATATTCTAGTCAATATGTTTTGAGAAGCGTGCTGAATTTAGATTTCAGTGCACGCCGTTTTATTGAGGAGTAACACACTAGCTGTAGCTTTCTCTACGGTTACTACTCATGAACAATGTTTATCAGTCCTGGATGCACATTTCCTCTTTTTTCTCTTTCTTTTTGTTAGCGGTTCAGCGAGGACGAATGCCTCCAACTCAGCCCAACCCAGGCCAGTACGCGCTGACGAACGGGGACCCTCTGAACGGCCACTGCTATCTGTCCGGATACATCTCGTTATTGCTGCGGGCCGAGCCTTACCCGACGTCCCGGTATGGAAGCCAGTGCATGCAGCCCAACAATATCATGGGCATCGAGAACATCTGCGAGCTGGCGGCTCGTTTGCTCTTCAGCGCCGTGGAGTGGGCGAGAAACATCCCTTTCTTTCCAGACCTGCAGATCACCGACCAGGTGTCCCTTCTCAGGCTGACGTGGAGCGAGTTGTTTGTGCTTAACGCAGCCCAGTGCTCCATGCCTCTGCATGTTGCCCCTCTGCTCGCCGCGGCGGGCCTCCACGCCTCCCCGATGTCTGCGGACCGGGTCGTGGCTTTCATGGATCACATCCGGATCTTCCAGGAGCAAGTGGAGAAGCTTAAGACCCTGCACGTAGACTCGGCAGAGTACAGCTGCCTGAAGGCCATCGTGCTTTTTACATCAGGTGGGTGTCCGACGTGTCACATAGGAACACGTCTCTAATCACATAAGGCCCATAGTTGCACTAATGTTACTACGAGCAAGGCTCGCATGGTGAGACAGTGACACTGTGGCATCAATAATATGGCTGTCAAGTATAGGCTGGTTACAAATCTGACTTTACGAGATGTTTGTGTAGCCGATGCAATAGCTATTTTGTCAACAGCTTGCTACATATCCACATACATGCATTCCCATGTCCGTTGTAGCCGCAGTATAAGAAGTGTAAACAAATCCAGATTGAGCGAGCGCATCACGTTTTGTGTAACTCATAGTAGGCTACAATGCGCCTTAGATCCGGTATAATTGACAATCTTATACATCTAAATATTTCACAGTGTTGAGTTTAAACTTTTTGAACACGTCTGAGCCAAGAGCTAGATTGTAGGTTCGCGTCCATAAATGTTGGAACAGGTGTCAAATAATCGAGCGTAAAGATGAAATAGTCTATCACTGTGTGATATATGACAGCTGATACATTTATGAGTGTTGGTGCATGCTTTCATCCTTGTTTTGCGTGAACAAACACATGTCTTGGGGGGGAAGGAAATAATCCTTAGCAGACAGAGATCAAAAAGCTGATGGATGTTGACTCATATGATCAGTGCATCGCTTCTCCACTCAGGGCAGCACTACTTTATAGATTATTTGTATATTTGTAACTGACCTATTCATTTTTCTAAGTTACTGAGGATAGTTTATCTTGTCGCACACGCTTTTAAAAGTCATCAGCAGCAATTTCCGAACCTAACCCACATTGTTGATAGCTTAATTGATGGCTGACTGAGGCAAGGTCCTAAAGTTCCTCATTTACGCTCGGTGCGTAATTTAGATGCTATTTTGGGGTTGGTTGTGTAGCTTGGTGCCATTAGGCCTGTTATGTCAAAGGAGTCTAGCGATGGAAGGGAAAGGAAAGTATAAACTCACAATCAAGCCCCAAACTAATGTAGAACTTACCTAAAAGTTTTGACCTCATTGTCTTTTATTTGACACATTAGACAATTCTGTAACATATATGTACATATCCTATAATTCGAGACGTTCATGTTAGAATATTCAGTTTTAATGTAGTTTTCAGATGTGGATTTATATTAACATAATTCCTATTTACAATATCCTTAGAAAGCGTCATAACTCAATTTTATATTCAGTGGTTACACTTTTCCTTGAGCATATTTCAGTAATTCTTTTTTTATTATTTACTTTATTTCAAAGGGTGTAAAACTGCCTACACACATTACCTTAAATGTAATTATATTACATTTGAAATGATAAAAAAACCTATTATTTTATATTTTTAATAAACTATCCAACACCATATTAAAACGTCATGCAGAGTGTACCTTAACATTGTGTATAATAGGAATCTAAATGATCCTAACTTCAAGTTTGAGTGCTCACCAAACTTAGAAATGCAGAGATTAACTTCTTGTCTGTTTCAACATTTTCAGTCTTACCATAACATAGGGTTTTCTTCAGTTAGAAAACTTTAGGTTTTTCTATATGTGTAATTTCTGGAGCCATAAAAAAAAAAATCAGTTTCATTTTATTCGGACACGCCAAAAATACAAGGCACTCTGAGAGGTAAATATATGTTTTAACACAAATAAATACATGATTTGCCTCAGTTAGTATAAGTAATGTGGGATCTTGTTAGATGCGCTTTGCTGTGTGTGCTGATATATTTGGCCACATTTTCCTATTTTTAAGCTGTTTTGGTTATTCACCCCCGATTACCCATTACCCAGACAAACTTCATACACGCATTAACATCGTCCATGTTTTCTAACAGATCATTTAGTTAGGTTGAGAGACTACAACTGGTGTTGGCTATAACAAGTCATGTGGCACTTTGCCAAAACTAGCATGGATTGTTTGCCTTTAATAACACCAGACTTGTCAGTATTTTATGCACTTAATAATACTGGCCAGGCTACACAATTTCGCCACAGTTTAGGGTCCTTTATTTTAAGTCCTCATCCACGTGTGCACGCAGTGTCTGTGTGTCTTTGCTAACTTACCACAGAAATCGCATTTGCTGATCTGGAAGCTATCTGCTCCCACGTCTCAGTATATTGAGGTGGTGGGGTGCAGGGTTGCAAGCAGGCCTAATGGAGAACTATGGGGTGTCTTTGACCAGCTTTCTTTCGACGCATACATTAAACTGCAGCATATCCCCTGCACCTCCTATATCGCTGCATTGCAACATTCAAACTAGCCTATACATTTTTACCTAAAAAATTCAAATGTAATTAATTTCAGCCTTATTGATTTCTGTAGATTTTAAAAGGGACACTCAGCGTTAATCCAAAGGGATTTGCATACATGGGGTTTTGACCGGCAGGACTAAGGTCACAGTAAATCACCCCGAGATCTCAGCGTTGCCCCGGGGTTCATAAGGTTATTGTGTCTGGCCATAGTGAGTTATAGCACCGATGAACCACGAGTAGGCTTAAAAGCGTCCGGTGTTCAATTTATTAGTAGCCTACTTGGATACTAAAGATGTCTTCCTTGTATAGTTTATACAAAAGCGCAGCTCAATACAGACTCCAGAGGACAACCTACTGCATGTGGGACCATATATGCCAGCGGTTATGCTGCTTGCATTTACAGCAGTTTATAGAACACGCATGCTTGTGTGAAAAGCACTCCCGTTTTATAACGGGCTAAAACATCGTAAGACACTAACAAGCATTATATGCTTTTGTCTTTCGTGAAGCGTGGCTGTGCAGGGCTGCATAACCCACCAGTGAGCACCAAAACAGGGTCCTCGCCTGCGTTGTTGCACAGGCTCATTTTCTGACATTTTATGTCGCTCCTGCGTGACTATTGACTTCACCTCCTCTAATAAATTTGATTGCTTCCAGCGGCCTGTCCTATAGGCTCCGTCGAAAAACAGGCCAGGAGAGGTCTATGGAGAGAAGGGCGGCGAAATGACTTAACAGCTTACTGCAGAGTAATTAGGTCACATTACATCTAGTGTAATTTCAGATTCATCAGTGTCGTTTATGTTTCCTTATACTTGAATCCCCAGAGTCCAGACATTAAGAGCATCGGCCTTTAGGCCTATTCCCTACCTTTCGCCTTTGCTCCATTTCCCCACCAGTTCTTCTTCTGCAGGCTCACAACAAGGTTTTCATGACATTTAACTCTATATTCTTGTTGATTGTTGTAAGAGCAGGCAGGAATATCCTCCACTGACTTGTACCTCCCCTAATACAGCAGCAAGTCCCTTGTTTATTCTGTATGACAGTCCCACTCGCTCAGTGTGATGTAGCATGTTTGGGCAGTGTGTTTGTTCATTCCACTTTGTCAATAACACGTAAAGGCTGATGTTGAATGATAACCAGAGTGCTTCTGCAGGACATAAATTGGGGGTGGCAAGGTGTGCACTTGCCAAAGCTAAGCCCACGTGAGGCTAGAATTGACCATGTGCTTTTGTTTTCATATTTTGCCCCCAAAATAAAAAGCAAAATTGACTGCCATGTAATTTTTTAGTTCTAGCCTATATATTTAAATATATATATATATAAAATAAAAACATTTTTAATATCACTGTTTCTCTTCAAGCTTGGAGACTGATGTGTTTTGATAATATAATATTTTCTTAACAATATATTTGTAGCCAACAGTAAATGTTTCACCGGTTCCTCGAAATGTTGAAGTTAAGCAGTAAAAAAAGATCAGATTCAGCGACTTTTTTCCACAATATGTTGGACGTAACGAGCCTAACCACAGTGTTCTTGGTGTGTGTTTCTCAGATGCTTGCGGCCTGTCGGACGCTGCTCACATCGAGAGCCTGCAGGAGAAATCCCAGTGTGCCCTGGAGGAGTACGTTAGGAGCCAGTACCCGAACCAGCCCAGCCGCTTCGGGAAGCTCCTGCTGCGGCTGCCCTCTCTGCGCACCGTCTCATCATCGGTAATTGAGCAGCTGTTCTTCGTCCGCTTGGTAGGTAAAACTCCTATTGAAACCCTCATCAGGGATATGCTATTATCCGGGAGCAGCTTCAACTGGCCTTACATGTCCATCCAATGATCCTAATATGAAAGTGGGAAAAAGAGAGGAAAAAAAGGACCAAATTTCAGCGCCCCTGACCCCATCCTCCTCCTCCAAGAAGACTATATATAGGACCTTTTCTGCGAAACTTGGAAGACATTACTTTTTTTCTGTCTTCTGGGACTGAGATGGAATACATTATGTACAGAAAAATATTGGAACTGGACTTTACACCTGTGTAAATCCACCCTCATCGTCAAGAACAATACTCTTCATTTTGTAAAATACTAGTCTTTATTTTCCTTTTTTTGGTAAAAAATACAAATAAAATGAAAAACATCATATGCGCAGTAAGAAAAAAAGAATCAAGACTTAGCGGGAAAATAATGTTTCCAAGCAATTATAAGAATTGTCCTGTGTCTATGTACCTCTCTGTTTTGTATTTTTTCTGGTTCTAAACCAGGGTTTCTGTGATTCTATACTAATAATTTTTTGATATAACCTTTTGCTTCTTATAATGAGTGCGATATATGTTGTCGAAGCTATGTTCTCCAAGAATTAAAATTGAAGTGAGAATTTAAAAACAGAAAAATAAAGAAATGTAGACAAATAAGAAACGGTCTAATCGCTATGACAATATTACCACTGATGGTTGAACTTTTTCCCAATTGAAACGATGGACCTGCTACTGCAGCAAACTGACCTCCTGGACATTTTTACTGAAAGGACGTCTGGGGCGCCTTTCCCCGGCCATGAGTGCGTGTGGAGTCGATCATCAGTCAAAGAGGAGAGACATGAAAATCAAAAGCACTTTTAATATATCATTTCAAATACATTTTGTTTGTTTCGTCTTGAACATTTTCATTGTTTCTTGAATTTTATTGGTTGTTGCCTTCAATTTGCTTACTCCATTATGCAGCTTTTTGCAGAAGGGTCGGTTGATGAAGTTGTGTGATGGTGACTGTACTATTAAAAAAAGAAATAGGCAACAATGTCTCATTCTCAAGCATATTTTATGTTTTATCATCCAAGGGATTTTGTTGTCTCTGTCCGTTCCTGGTATAAGAAAAGCCCAAGTGCAGGCTACAGTTACTGAGTCACTCTTCGGCATTGCCTTATAATGGCACATATAATTATGAATACACTGTTTGTCTCTATTACACCCTTCCCACCGAAAATGAGGTGATACAAGGGATTAAGTGTGTTAATTACACAATTAGTAAATACCTTACATTTTAACAGAGCCACTGACACAATGCTAACACAAAGAAGCGGAGGCTATAGGAAGTACAGCAGTGAGCTCTGTGCTAGCCTGTGTGCGCGCATTAATGTTTAATATGTTTCCCAGACAGCAAGGAAAGTCTGCGGACCACACAGAGCCACCTCTATCTTACCTCATGTGGCTTAATCAAGGTGATTCTTCACAAACCAAACAATATTCCCCTCTCCCCGTTCTTAAAAATTCTGCCTTGATACTGCATGCCTCAATATTGATGTGGGCGTCATTTGGCAAAAGGGTTAGACCCCGCTGCAAAGCTGCTGTGATATGCGTGATCAATCTGGAAAATGTATTTTACAGCATGTAAGCCAGTCGATAGGAACACCGAGTGTGATGCATTGTGTGGGAATAGAGCGGAGGAAGGAGAGATAGAGATAGAGAGAGAGAGGGGTAGAGAGACTGTGGAGCCAGCGCAGAGACAAATGAGAGGGGAAATGTGTGAGAAGGAAAGCAAGTGTGTGTGTGAGGGAGACAGAAAGAGATGTGGCCTTGGTTTGCCTGATACATTCACAATGTAATGAGAACATCGATAAGTCCTCAATGTGTTAGATGGGTTAGAGTTTCTGTCCTTGCATTGGTTTGTGTGTGTGCGCGCGTTTTGTCTACATATACTCTACAAATGACACAGGAAGCCGAGTTATGGACCTGGATCTACCCTCACTGTCATTACAGAGGTACACTCACACCTACAGTGGTAATATGTGATAAATGGGAAGGCGTTGTGAAGAAGAAAATGGGGTTTCGATGTGACAATTATTACATTTGCCTGTTAGTCGTCGTCGTCGTCGTCCCCCCCTCTTCATCATCAGACGTGTTGCTTATGTGCCATATTGCTCACATCTTCATCTACTGACTGGCAGCGATGAGGGACAGGAGGACAGGAGCTGAACTGCATGCAGCACGTTGCTATGTCTGAGTTTGATATCGCCATATTTGTTATCTGCCTTATAGGGCTGGGGGATGGGTATTCGTGGCAGTGGTTTATTTGTTTTTATTGCCTGTCTCGTTTAAAGGCTACAATATCAAGGTATTAATTATATCGTGTTCTCACTGGGATGCTATAGGCTGTGCTTTAAGATGTCCTCAAATGCTCTCTCACAGCAGTTTTCATTCTCGTGATTAATGTCTGTTCAGGCATATTGTACCTATTAGCTCCCAATCGACCTGTCTGTAGCACTGGGTCAGTTGTCAGACGCCTTGATGTTGCCTAAGCTACTGTACAAACATAAATGTGATATTTCTTCTGGTTCGATCGTTGTTTCCTTATTGTGGACATGATTATCCGGAGCTTTAGGTCAAAGGAAAGTTGATGAATAATGGAACCGTTCCTTTCTGTTTTATACTGAAGGCCGAATATGCTGTATTTAAACAAAAAAATCAACAATATACACAACCAACAACCCCTGAAATGGAGCCTTAAAACAGATATGTACTGAAGCCATGGAATTATATAGCATGTTTATCTTTTACTGGTGTGTTTTTGGAATCATCCAGAGGATTGTTTCCTGGACGGCAAGGGTGCATGCGAAAATAAATGTTTGTTCTTCAAAGTAATGTAATATGGCTTCACCATGGCCATGACAACAGTCCAGGTCGTTTTTGTTTTATGTTGCTCTGGACTAAATTGTTTGTTGGGTTATTAAACGCAGCTTTCAGCTGGTTGTCTCCACATAATGTATTCTAAATCCCTCCAGAGTAACTATCTTTTATCCTCTTGCTGAGAGCATTTGGTTATACAATTGTAACACTACAGGCTATATAAAGCAATAGTTCAGAAACAGATGAAATGGTGGCATGTGTTGCTAATTAACGTTTCTGTAGAGGCAATACAAGCAAAACACATGAGGATTCTAGGGAAAGTGATCATTTGTTTAGGCTGTGGACCATGTTTCACTATTTGACAGAAAATCAAATTGGTGTATTATTTAACACCTCAAATATTGAAATAATAATCTTAAAAATATCAGATATATTTATTATCAAATTCCTAATAGTTTGCTGTTATGAAAACATTATTAGTACTTATTATTAATTAAATACAAGCAAAGAAAAAAGTACCAAGTGCACTCAGAGAGAAGTAAATGCACTGTCAGATTGGGAAAGCTGCGGTGGGTAAGAAAGATGGATATGTGGCACACTATGGGCCCCATTTGTGTCTCTGTAATTTCGGAAACTCCGGTTACCAAAGTGTTACTACAAAATGAGTTAAATAACCATTTACCTTTGTCTGGTTTCATTCATCAAACCACAAGTGGAGGACTCCTAACACAGGGGGCTATTTGTTTGCTTTACACAAGCAGCTGGGTGCGATTTCACGTTTGAGATGTCTGTCTGAAAGCGAAACATTTATTATCCTAAGTTGTCAGCGAACCTATTTCTCCAAAAGCCTCAATGCAAGCCAATGGTTTTATTCAGCGGTGGAAACGTCCTATTGGCGTCACACGTCACTTCATTTCACTTACAGTAGCCTAGTTTTCCCGGTCACATTTGACAAATACTGTTGTTTAAGACAATAACAATTTCCAAATAGCGGCTCCGTATATGAATGGGGGGCCCTCTGAAGTATGACACAGCTTATTTCTCATATTGTCTTGTGCGTAAAAATGATGACAACACAGGACAACAAGTGATTCGCCGTGTCTTTCACGCACCTCGCTCAAACGAGCTTGCAAAATGGCTGGGAACGGCACAGTGGGGACAAATGCCCAAAATGAAATGATTCCCGAGATGTGTGCTATACATCAGCAAATAGTATTGACTGCACACACAGTCAGCGGAAAGAGGCATAATGTTCTGTTCTGAGATCTGTCCGTATAGATCTCATAGGCAACCTTTAAACCATGGATCAAATCCAGCCCTACGGGGTACAAAGTATCCCTGGTTGTGAATGTAACATAAGGGGACGCCTCCCGTGGACGACTCCCTGCACCCGTGTGCGTATTTGTGCACGCGCGCGCACTCCAGTTTGTCATGACTGTCAAACGCTGCTATGTTAGGATTTTTCAATATGTGTGAGGTCTCTCTGTAGGTATATATGTGCGGGCGCGTTCTTTGCATGTCCGTGCGTAAACGCGTGCATCTACCAGCGTGCTTACGCGTGTGTCCGCGCTACTGGCCGAGAGCGCGCGCGCGAGGGAGGTGGTTGTGAGAAAGCCCGGATCGCTGTGTAAGCGGATCCCTTTGTGTTGATTTAGGAAGACGTTTGCTGTATATAACGTTCAAGGCTGATAATATCATTGCCTGGCCAGATAAATAAAGCATTGGCCAAAACCATCGGGTCAGCTATCGATCCGCTTTTTCTCCCTGAGAGAGAGAGAGAGAGAGAGAGAGAGAGAGAGAGAGAGAGAGAGAGGAGTGAGGGAGATAGACAGGGAGAGAGAGAAATGGCGCCTCGATGCTGCGCTCACTGAGGCAGTGTTTGGAGCCGGCTAGGGAGATTCAGTAAGGGCAGACAAAGGGAAAAAACATGGTGAATACAAGAAAAAGCTCACGGCCGGGAAGCGATCTCTTCATATCCTCGAGGACTAGGTCGTCGTCGAGAACCGAGATGAACTCTGAGGAACATGTAAGCCGGTCTCTTTTCTTTGCCGGGTGAGCTAGCTGCCTCTGCTAGTTGGCTAGCTAGCTGTAGCTGTGGCCTCAAGGTGCCCAACATGATGTGCTATTTACAGCAAAGTAAAAGCAATTTCAAAGTTGACACCCACTCAGTCACGAAGATACACAATAAAAGACTTGCTTGCAGTTATTCATAAGCGTGTCATTTGTACTGAACGCATTGCACAGCTGTCAAAGTACAAGCTAGCGACGCTAACTCCTGGCTAGCCCCAAGTTGAGTTCCCTTTGTGTTTGGCAATTTCACCCGGCTGACTTGTTTCAGCTTTGTCTCCACTAACTAGCCCTCTACAAAAAGACAACTGTATTTGTACACGAGGGCATAAGCATTACACCATGCTGGAAGTATTGGCTAAGTTATTTATCCAAATGTGAAAAGATAAACCTTTAGTTTTGCTAGCGTCTGTAGGTTATAGCTAGCCCAACAACTAGCTTACAGTGGGGGAAGGGAGTCCCAGGTTCCAAACAGTTGGCTGGCTCAAGTCCCGTATTTAGCAAGTCTGGACTTGGTGAACTTTCTGATGTAAATGCCCCAATGCCCCACAGACAGCAGGATGTTCACATTTTCGGTTTAAACGTTATACCAAATGCTATTTGTCTACGTGTTCGAAGTGCACCCTTAATGTATAGCTTATGTTATTGCTCTGATCGCCTGACCTACTAGCTGTCTGACAGTCTTTGTCTCTAAAATGTAAACATTGAGATTACGCAAGGCGAGAGGCTCCGTATTTCCGCAATATTATAGCATTTAACACATGTGTTGCATGCTACTTTGATCATGTATTACCACAAGAACATTCTTGAGTTTTAACGTGCTTCGGAAAGGTTTCTCGTTAAGTTAGGGGTTACAGATTTGGAATCCGTCCTGGCTGCGTGTCGCAAGAAAGGCTAACTGAGGACACATGATTTAGCGTTCAGTGACTGTAAAACTTGAAAGTTATGCCTTTACACTTTCTCAATTCAGATTGTTTTGGAACACTAAACTCTCATTCCTGTCTTGAGACCATGGCCACTTTTAAGTCTGTCTGCATCTATCTATCCAGTCTGTCAGAGAGACAAACCCCTCGGCAGGCATTACAGACAGTTGCCTATGACAACAGTGAGATATGCTCTCATATCAGGGGGGAAATTGAATTGATTTATTTAAAACAAGGGACAGTGTACATTAATCAACATATTAAAAGCATGTAAAAGTATTCAAATTAGCCAAAAGGCTAGTTTTCATCGATAGACATCTTAAAAGCAATACAAGTTAAACTGTGAAGGGCGTAAGCATCAAGGACATGTGTCTGATTGGTGCTCTGTTGTGATTCAGGAGTACATTGAGGATGGGTTCAAGGTGTCTTGTCTCAGCATAACACTGTATTTTGATATGTTGCTCCTGCTTTAATGTTTTCCTGGATTACATTTTTACCTTGATTTGTTTAAACTGGCCTATTATTTGCTAAATATTCAGGCTTTACGACTTTAACAACACTTGTGAAGTAACACTGTGCAATATATCCTTTCTTACAATTTATTATTGCTTACTGCTACTTCAAGACGTATGTGTTTGCTACATGCTGCTGCTTATGTTCAACCATATTTGTGTACTTGATTTTTTCACTAACATGTGCTTGCCTCTTTATATGTTATTGTACTCATTTGAGTTTTTCCCTTTTATCTGCCCTGTCCCTTTTGCTGTAACATTTACATTTCCCCCGCTGTAGCACACATACCATATTTTTGATACTGATTTTTGATGATTGATTGGATTTATGTTTTAATGCTAATTGTTGTGAAAGGTTGTCAATGTATGATGTGTCACCTTTTTCTGTTGTCCTGATTGTCATGTTTGAATTGTGGTTGTCCAACAGAAGGAGCCCAGTAGTGATGTGAGCAGTCCCAGCAGCCCGCGCTTGGCTCCCCCTTCCAAGCGAACGCGGCGGCAGACGGCCTCTGAGCCCAGCTCCAGCGACACCTCTCCGTCCCCACAGACCAAAGCCCAGAGGGTCAGCTGGGAAATTCCCACCTACCGCACCAGGTGATTTCCTGGCCTTTGTTTCCCTTTTCACAAGTAACTCTGAATGTATAATATTGTGCCACACAATAATTGTGTAGTTTGTGACTTTATACTCATTGGCAGAAATATGAATGTATTGTGATGACAAAGTTGTCTGTACCAAGTTTTAATAAGCAAGGTTTACTCCAGACGGCTGTCTGTCACTGGCTGTAAAGTCAGATCTCATTCTTCTCATGATATTTATTGTAATGAGGTAAACAGGCAAACTTAAACACGAGCACACAAATATTATGTTTGAATAAATGTAGTATTTTGTGCATGCGTATTTGAACTTGTTTCTGTGTTTTCTAGGTTGTCCTCTCGCATCATGCAAAATGGCCACGGTAATGCAATTATTTTTCAATTTCTTCCTTTTTTTTTAAAAGCCATACATTGATCACGTGATTTAGGAGGTATAAAAATAAATAACAATGAATATTCCTTGTTGACACTGTAGCCCATATGAGTCACCGGAATGAGGAGCGTGGAGTGGGGGATCACTCTCACATGAATGGACATGTGGAGCTGAAGAGGAGCTGCCGAGTGAAGAAGAGCCAGTTCGAACACCTCAATCAGAGCCTGCTGTTCGACCAGCTGGTCAACAGGTAGCTAGCAGTCACACTACTGACACCTCTCTTTCACCTTACACAAGAGAAACAGGAAGTAAGCATGACTTAAATGATATAAGCATACTTTATCTATATTGGAATATATGGAAATTAATTCTTATAGTGAAGAAAAAGCGTGATAAATCCCAAAATAATATAAATATATTTAGTTTGGTTATTGTCCAGGTGTGCATCCTTCACAAAGCTTACCTATGGAAAGCACACTTTGTACTTAAATATTCATCAATTATTGAACACCACAACAGCGAGGCTTCAAGTCCTACACAGCTTTTCACATCATTTCACTGGGAGTACCCCCAAGTTAGAGTCAGCACTACTACAGGGCTATGCCCAAATCAGAACCTTTTTGATTCTGGCTGAAGTTTTACTGACACTACGTCAGCGCCTGACTTTACCTCTCCCCGGGGCTGTGGACTTAGCGCTGTGGACTTAGCGCTGTGCCCTCTCTCCCTGCAGGGAGGGACGGGGACCCCTACTTCCACCACGACTGTCGACCAGGCGGACTGCTCAGTGCGTCAGGGGTCTGCGGCCATATCGACAAACCACCCGACCCATCTTGAAACACAGACCTCGTCTTGTTTACCGTGCTTTGTGCGTGTGATATTTGTTGCCGTGTCATCACCATTCATGTCCAGAGCCTTTACAACTGACTGTTGGAAACAATGTTCACATGATTAAGCAACAACAGTCGTCTTGCTATTAAAAATATATACAATTTAATGCACAATGACTGACTTACAACAACATGAAATCAATGGCTCTGCTACGGGGTAAATTGACAGATCATTGGACTTTCAGAGGACAGCTCTTTTTTACCATCATTGAACAAGAATTACGAAAAAGATAAAAACTGCACTTTAGACACTGTAAATCTTCTACCTCTGTAAGAAAATAATGGTTAATGCATGTCTGTAAAGGTGCCTTTAGTTTGTCATATTGACTTTTGTTCTCTCTCTGTGTGTGTTTGCAGCACTGCCGAGGCTGTCCTTCAGGAAATGGACAACATCAGCAGCATCAGGCAGAACCGCGAGGTGGAGCGTCTCCGCATGTGGACAGGAGACACTGAGGAGGTAAGTGTGGCCCTGCTGTAACGGCCAACCTAAAGATAGAAAAGTATGGCTGCACTGCCTGATCATCTCATTTGAATATAACTGATACTCTAAAGCCCCTGTTTTTCCAGGAAAACATGGACATGTATTCCCGGGTGAAGCGCAGGAAATCCATGCGCAGGAGCACTTTCAGCATGCCCACACACCACAAAGCCATGAGTAAAACTGAGCAGGAGGATGAAGAGGAGGAAGGAACGGAAGGTCAGGTTCCTACTAATGTTGTACTTCTGAATCAGTGGAGCAAGAGCTAGATCATGAAAACTTAATAAACCAACTCGGCTTTAACTCAAATTGATCAGAACGATGAAAAATGGATTCCTTAGTGATCTTGGAATGATTTTTTTAACAGCTCAAATGTGGTGGTATCTGAGGTTTGAAAACGGCATTGTGGGACTTTCAGATTCTCACGGTGAGGAAGAAGAGCAGGATGCAGAGGATGAAGATGATGAAGGGGATGAAGCAGAAGAAGCAGGGGAGGACAATGACAGACGGTATAACCTGAGGCAACGAAAGGCTGTGCAGAGATATGAGGCACCACCTATCGGTAATTGCTTTTCTTTCTTTTTTTTAATAAAAGATACATTTCATTTAGCTCTGTTAGGGAATGTGTCTATTTAATGATTTCTACTAATTATATCATGTTTTAACAATTTTGAAGGCTCAGTGTGACATTTTTTTATTTTTGCTTTCTCAGAGCCGGTGAACAGAAAACAGAGCAACCCCTCACTTTTTGACACCCTCAGATCCCCAGCAAGAAGAAGCCATATAAGGTTGGTGGAAGCTTTGACAAAAATAGCAGTGAAATCTCATGCTAAATGTGTTACATATGTTTGAATCCTAAGCAGCCTTTGGATAATACCTCCTGTGGTTATTAAACAAATGTTTTACACCTTCAGAAACATGACTGTGCAATGGTGCTATACTGAATCTAGATTGTCACACTTCTCCAGAGTCAAGAAACACGCCATTCACAGCAGTGACACCACCTCGTCTTCTGATGAAGAGCGGTTCGAGCGGAGAAAAGGCAAAAGCATGACCCGGGCCAGGAACAGGTGCTGCTTTCTTTCTTCTACATTTTATTATTTCCCTTTCATCTTCCTCTCTTTTGATCCAACAAGACCTATAGCATAATTGAGATCTAAAATGTTAACATAAATGTCAAACATGTCTTTCCAACAGATGTTTGCCCATGAACCTGACTGGAGAAGATTTATCTAGTGGGGTGCTGCGTGATCGGGTGAAAGTGGGTGCCAGCTTGGCTGACGTGGATCCCATGAATCTTGATAGCTCAGTAAGTAGAAATGCTAATGATAACAATATAAATCTGTAAAGCAGCACAGTTTAAGTCATCACAAAGATACAAAGTAGACTTGTCATTTTTTGAGTCAATTACTGTTTGAATGTATATCTTAGATTCCAAATCTGTGTTTTTTTCTCAGGTGAAATTTGACCATGTGGGAGGCCTCAGTAACCACATCAAGTCACTTAAAGAGATGGTTGTGTTCCCACTGCTTTATCCTGAGATCTTTGAGAAGTTTAAGATTCAGCCCCCCAGGTGAGAAAAACCAAGATGTGTTTATTCAAAGAATGTCACTTTTTTTAATTTGGTTTTGAGGTCGACATTTTTATGTTTTGTTTATCCACTAAAACACAGTTTCCATTTCCTCTCCTGTCCCCTTTCAGAGGGTGTTTGTTCTACGGGCCTCCCGGGACGGGAAAGACTCTGGTAGCACGGGCGCTTGCCAATGAGTGTAGCCAGGGAGACAAGAAGGTTTCCTTCTTCATGAGGAAAGGAGCCGACTGCCTCAGCAAGTGGGTCGGGGAATCAGAACGCCAGCTACGCCTGCTCTTCGACCAGGTGAGTAACCTCACACACTTTGGGACATTTTTAAAGTCTATTTTCTATGCTATGATGAAGAGCAACTGATTCTTGAATATTACTGAGACACCTAGCCAGCACACTGCTGAGGGGAAGTATCCATGTAACCATAGCTTCAGTCACTTGACCTGAATTGACTTCACAATGTAAAAAGAACACTGATGGCTGCTGAAGAACTATTTTCATTTCAGCAGTTGTTATCATTAAATGTTATATGTTATTTAGCTTGACACTTCAATACCGTACACATGCCTATGGGAGCAATCTAGGGTTAGGTACCTTGACCAAGGATTGTTCGACATAATGACTGCAGGGACCCACTGACCCTCTGATTGGGAGAGCAGCGCATTAACCCCCTGAGCCATATGCACCCCATTTTAACTTAAAATTATCATATTACTTCTCACTTACTTTGAGAAAATGTTCTTGTTGTCTTTAGGTAAACTGAACACAATAATTAATATATTTTTTCAATGAGCTTAATATCATTTGTTTCTGTGTGATTTGACCCTTTCCTGTGTGTGCTTTTGATTAGGCTTACCTGATGAGGCCATCCATCATCTTTTTTGACGAGATTGATGGTTTGGCTCCTGTTCGCTCTAGCAGGCAAGACCAGATACACAGGTAAGGCTGATTGAAAAAGAAACCCTATTCGTACCCCCACATACATGAAAGTGCTGAAACTGCATCTGCTGTTACTTCTGCAGACATTGGCATGTCTGCATCTGCAGTTCTAATCTTGCTGTAACTTGACTAGCCAATAGGTGGTGCAGGTTTTCTTTAACTGCTCTAAACTACTCAGACTGCAGCTCTGAATTTTAAATGATTTGGCTGGATATGGATTTGAGTTCTTCAGTGACACCTCAGTTCAATTAGTTTATTTGGCGCTGAGTATCCATAGCAATAGAATATCGGAAAATCACAAGAATTCAACCACTGAGAAACACTGCTCCCGATGTATCCCTGTGAATAAAGGACTATTTGTAACTGTGAAATATCATTGGGAAAAGAAGTTGACTCCAAACATGAAACGTGCTGCTCTACTTTTTCTGCCCTGCTGGGTAACACATGCATGATAGAGCTGTAGCCAAGACAGAAATAAAACAGTTGATATTTTCACCCCCTGCGGTTTGTTAATTATGCATGTTTGATAGCTCAGGTCTGTGTTCTACTTGCAGGAATAATGTCTTGTTTATTTGCTCCGTGCTGGCTCACGAGTCTTGTTAATATCATCTGGGCAAAGTATTTGGGGTCTCAATATCCGCACGTTCATTCCTTCTGTCCAGTTCTATTGTGTCCACACTCTTGGCCTTGATGGACGGCTTGGACAGTCGCGGGGAGATAGTTGTCATCGGTGCTACAAACAGACTTGACTCTATCGACCCGGCACTCAGGAGGCCTGGACGCTTTGACCGGGAGTTTCTGTTCAACCTGCCCGACAAGAAGGTGAGAGAGTGAAACGTCAATATCGTAAACAGCATGTTTGACAAAAAGCACACATGCAAACTCTTGTTTTCCCTGCACGGAAGATGTTTTTCAGTGTAGGGGCAAAAACTATGCATTTAATATACCTGAAAAACCGCATGTCCAAAATGAGCCAGGGCAGTTTGACCTAAGCAGGGCTCCAGAAAACCTCTTTCCATAAAGATCTCCCTACTGAAATGTTACATTGAATGCATCACACAATCATATCTTTATTAGTGATAAAGCTTTCTTTATAAAGATCCTCCTCTGCCTTCCTACTCACTGTACCTTCTGCCCGCCTGACCACCATGGGGTCAAGAGCTTTCAGCCACTCTGCACCCCGTCTCTGGAACTCTCTCCCACAAGACCTCCGCAATATGGACTCACTCTCAACCTTCAAATCCAGCCTGAAAACACACCTTTTTTAAACGGGCTTATTCAATATCTTAATAATTTTTCTAAACTGATTGTTGTTTTTAAGTCTTTGTTTTTAAGTCTTGTATTACTGTGTGATCTTCTTTGTTGCTTGTTTTTAATTATGCTCTGTAAGGTGTCCTTGAGAGCTTTGAAAGGCGCCCATAAATAAAATGCATTATTATTATTATTATTATAAAACTAAATAAACAATGTGCTGTTTTCTATTCATGAAAAGCGTTTTTGGACATACCAAATAATAAATCAACAAATGCATTACTTTACAGAACAAGTAAACGGGGAGATTAGTAGACATCAGATTAGATTCCTGCCCTAAAAATGTTTTTTTTTTTTTAAATGTAACCTCTGTGTGGCCATTCAACACTGGCACAGTTTGAGCAGGCTAGTTTTACATTCTGATTTAGTTTATTTGATCAAGTTAGACGCTTTCTTTTGAAGTCTGTTTTAAAATAAATTCATTGTTATTCTTCTACTTTTTGAGATTTAGCCTACAGACATTTAATACCGCTAAAATCCAGTTATAAAAGTGGCTGTGTTTTAGTTGTTGTTAAAGAAATACGGTAATCCCCTTCATTATTTCTTATCTGTATTTCGCAGGGCCCAGAATAGCCATGCAGCTGCATCCATTAGAAACACTCTGCACCTTGTAAAAATGTACTTCTGCCTCTAAGTGGTTGCAAAATGCCACTAAATGATCGCGTTGTGGAGTCCTGCTAAGTTGTAGTTGCACCACAGACTCCAGTATATCCTGGCCAACTGTGAGATAACGGAATTCAATTGAGTCTATAGGGAGCACTTACTGTACATACAATGCTGGAACGCACAGCTGGAGACTCAGTATAATGCAGAGGTAATTGGTGTTTCTCTCATAAAAGTTCTGCGACCGAATTAGTTCATGCCGCCCCCGGGCTATTGAGAGTCTCCTCTACTGTGTATTTTCCTCGGTGTCGGGTCCTTTGATCCAACAAGCAAGCGGCAAAGCAGATGCTCATTAGAAAATAATATTGCTATGCAGGTCTGATTACTTTATTCCTGTGCTTGGGGAAACATGTATTTTCTCCCTGCTGCTCACAAAACGCGTGTGAAATGACATTGACACAAATAAACAACTCTATGAAGGTGACTGTACTCCATAGAGTCTGTCTAATGTGTCACCTCGCAGCACACAGTAGGGCGGTTGGTAATCAAAGCCTAATCTGCAGGCCATTGCTGGTTAAGCTCACCTGTAGTGTGCTGATTAAAAAACTTTCTCTTGTACAAATACCAATCTTCTCGACACATTCAAGAACTGCTTCCTCCTGTTTTTTTTTTTTATAGAGATAGAAACTTGCAAGAAATCTGGCTCAGTTGTGTCTTTTGTAAAGAAAGGCAGATATGATGAAAACCGTTGCCCTTGATTCGAGAAAAAGACCACTTTGTTCTGAATGCCTGCTCATCAAAGGGGATTCCTGTGGAGACGAAGAAATGAAAGGCGCGTTGTGCTGAAATTGTAATGACGATATTTATGATTTGATTTCCCCGGTATAATTGTCACGCTTGTTTAGTTTATCCTGTCTAATGCAAAACACCACTTAAATTACAATTTTTTTTCTGTGTTAGTATTGGTAGCCACTGTGACAGTTTCCATTGTTGTTTTTGACATGTTTTCTTATTCAGCTTTGCAGGACTTGAGCCCCCTCATTTACTGACTCTGTTTTCTTTGTTTGTTTTTCCTTTTGTAAAACCCCAAGGCCAGAAAGCACATCTTGGAGATTCACACACGGGAATGGAATCCCAAATTGTCTAAGCCGTTCATAGATGAAATTGCAGAAAAATGCGTCGGTAAGAGAGAAGTCTGTCCATAGAACTGTATCCTATCTTTGCTGTTAGAAATCAGCTCACAGCATCTTTAAAAATGTGCCTTGATGTAACCTTCCTGTTCTTCTACCATTTTAAAACAAGCTAAAAGCAAACAAATAACCAGGGTATATCTCACCTGTATCCAGGCTACTGCGGCGCAGACATCAAAGCACTTTGCACAGAGGCAGCCTTGGCCGCGTTGCGCCGCCGCTACCCCCAGATCTACGGCAGCAGCGTCAAACTGAGCCTGGATGTCACCTCCATCGTCCTGGGGGCCTGCGACTTCAGCAAGGCCATCAGGACAATCGTCCCCGCCTCCCAGAGGGCACTGGCCCCCCCCGGCCGAGCCCTGTCCCCCACCCTCAGGCCCCTGCTGGCCAGCTCTTTCTCCTTGGTGCTGAAGGCCCTGCTCCGAGTCTTCCCCCATGCTCACTGTACTGACGGGGACAACACACACGGTAGGAGCCCACACTTTGAATGGTTTCACTCCCCTACTGCTGGCACTGCTCTCTTCTTCTTCGCCACCTTTTTTTCACACATTTTAGTATTGGCACTTAAGTAGTATTTTATTATTTGTTTCTATTTCCCTATCCTATTAAAGTGCTTTTGTATCACCCTAACACACCAATGACACCATCCCCCTGAGATTGCAGAGGTGATAGCACAGAGCTTGCATAACCAGTCATCCCTGCTTGCAGTATCTCAAATCCCAAGTCAGTAAGCAGAAGTTTTTACAGCAGATTACCCACAATGCAGCACTTGACCAGCAGGAGGTTGTTTACGGGAGTCGCGCCCAATAATGACACAAGTTTTCCATATGGCCGTTTCCCCTTAGAACGCCCATTACATCTTGCCTAATAAGCCTGCTCTCACTTTTTCCGTGAAATGCCCACATTAATGTCAGTGATAGGGCCGCTCTGAGGATTAGACTTTGCAGATACAAACTTTTTTAAGTGCATTAGCGCCGTTGTGATGAGGCCAAGTGAGTTGCAACAGCCATGGCTGAATAATGTCTTTGTTCTAGGCGGTGACAATCAACTGCTCGAAGAGGACTACAGCGACGATGACAATAAGCAACGCTCCACTTCCATCTATGAAGTCCAGCCTGCTGCATCCCCAAAGACTCAGCTTTCCTCTTCTGCAACGCACACACCCTTCCTCCACTTCTCCTTGTGAGTCCATAGAAAACAAATATATTTTGTGAATTTATAGAACATAAACACTTGGAAATAAAACATTTAAAAAATGTATTTTAATATTGCACTATATGAGATTGAAAGTGATTAAATGTTATAGATTTGAATTTAAACAGACACGGAACATGTATTTATTTTCAAACGGGGACGTTTTGCCTGTAGTGAGGTTCTTTTATAGTGTAGTTGGGGAATAATAGTTTGCCTCGGAAGTATACTTAGTAAAAGGAAACCTCTTGACTAAGATGTAACATATTATTACCTATACAATCATCAAAAATGGGGACTGTATATAAGACGACTAAGCTAGGCTTCACAGTCGGCACCTGTAGAAAATCCTCGGCTTTGGAGGAAAACAAGCAACATAACAGAAGAGCTTTAAAGTGAGGAGATCAGAGGAGACAATTCTTCCAGTACCTAAGGATTCACTTTTTACTGCAGTGATGTGTAGGGAAAAACCCCTCATTGCAATATATTTAGATATTTAAATGCTTCATTGGATGGTCCCTAAACTTAACCGTGTAATGCCTGTAGGCTCTGTTACTATATAAGAGAATGAGTTATTTTAACACATGTGCCACAGTGGTACTTCATTCGGATACAGGGTTGCTTTTACTCAGACTTGATGAGTTTAATGTTGTTCTTAAGATCGTTATTGTGCTCTTATTTTCGTCAGTAAACTCTATTTTGTCCTTAAAATCTTTCAAACTGACATTACACAATATGTGAAGCTATCTGGAATGTTCTAATATTGTCTACATATTCAGCATATGTTGACAATATTAGAACATTCCAGTGGTTTAACTGCAACGGTGTTCGAATGCCATTTACAATAAATACGCATTTCAATTGAAGGGTTTCAGGGTTTTGCAGTTAGTGTCAAGTGTAGATTTACACTGCAATATCAACTTCTGAAGGAAATGAACAGAATTGAACTGAAGCAATACTGTGCCAATGTCGTTTGAATGACAGTATGACTGCTGCCCAGTGATCAAAACTTGAACTCTCTCCTGCTTCTAGCTCCGCCCTCCAACAGCCCACAGCATACCGGCCTCGTCTGATGCTGGCTGGGGCCTCGGGCTCAGGACAGAGCTCCCACCTGGCCCCCGCCTTGCTGCACCACCTAGACAAACTGCCGGTGCACCGCCTGGATTTGCCCACTCTCTACTCCGTCAGTTGTAAGACGCCAGAGGAGTCCTGTGCTCAGGTAACAAACACATCCGCACACATCCGCACACATCCGCACACATCCACACACATCCACACACATCCACACACACAAATCCACCCAAGACCATCTGCTGCACAGGTGGTTGGAATCTGAAAGGAGTAAGCAACTTACTGGCTTTTAGGATTAATCATAACTTTTTTTAATTGGGTTAGATTGAAGCTACAATTGGCTTATTGCAGGAAGCGATATAATTCCACATTTACTTTATATTTGTTAAACCCATTTATTTCTGGGATTCACAAACGTTTTCTTCTTTTTGCTGATAAAAATGTACGAGTAGTCAAGATAATTCTTGTCAAAATAAGAAAAAAAACTTTTGAATACACAGTCCAGAAACACACGCAGTCCAAAAAATGAAATAACATTTCAGAAATATTCAAGAGAATGTTGATGCATCAGGCCCAACGTGTGTGTTTGACATATGTGTGTATTGCAGGTTTTCCGGGAGGCCCGGCGGAGCGTGCCCAGCGTGGTCTTCATGCCGCACATCTCAGAGTGGTGGGAGACAGTGAGTGACACTGTGAAGAGCACCTTCCTCACCCTGCTGCATGATGTGCCCTCCTTCAGCCCCGTCCTCATCCTCGCCACAGCTGAGACTCACTACTCACAGCTGTCAGACGAGGTAGGCACACCATGTACACACACGTCTGTGCTGACATTTTCAGATTTACCTCGAGGCTTGCACCATGTTTTTTGTGATTACACCTTGCTGTTGATGGAATTGCTTCCAGTATATGAGAGAGTAGAGCGTTACCTTGATATCTTTTTATATGTGGTATCGGAGGCTAAAGCATGCGGCTTCTCTGTGCCTCTCATACTCGGGAGCACTCGTGCAGACACACACACAGGGTGTCACAGTCAAGGTCCTCTGCTCCCACAGAGTTTTTTTTATCTACTCCATCTCTCTTTTCTTTAGTCATTTATCCCACTGCCCGTTTTCACCATGGGGATCCCATCCCCTGCCCCTTCATCCCTTCCTCTTGGATTTATTATTCTCTTTCTGAATAGCCACAGCAGAGTCAGACCACCCGTTGTGGGTTAGCCTGTAAGGGACGGTTTTGGTTGGGGGAAGGAGAAATAGAGAAAATTGGAAAGGGGGGAAAAAGAGACTGAAATAAGGAAGAGGCTCCTCTCTTGTCGGGCAAGAAAAGAGCTTTAATTAGATCCGGGGGTTGGCAGCCCCAGGTCTTCACCCCAGGACACACACAACATGTCGATATGCCTGTGCAGACTATGCATGTTTTTTCTGTGTGTGTGGGTGCGTGTGTGAGCGTGCGTGTGTGTAAGTGTTTTAACTTTTCTTCCTCTTGTGTAATTGGTAGTTTCTGCCTCCCTTGCATTCTTTAAGTATGTCTCCCTCACTTAACTTGTTGACTAACATGCTGCGTTAAGTATGAACATGGAATGAATCTCACCCCACAGACCCCTTCAGCCTCTGTGTCACATCTAGGTGACTGGATGAATCCATGTAGGATTGGCAATTACCACTTTCATCACATGACCTTCTCTGTGGTGATTGAACACATAGCCATGCAGTGTGGAAGATTGGGAAGCTCATAATGGGACAAATGGTGTGCTCAAGTCAATGTGGAGCCAGCATGAGGATATCAAGACTGTCCTTAGGCTATCCTGGCTCTCTTTCCCCATTTCAGTCTTGTGCTGAAAGTTTGAAGTTGGATTGCATCATTGCACTTGTAAATCAGTTCTTTTTTCTTTCTTTTGTGCAGTTACATTGTAAGAAGATCCAGACCTTTTCTCATTTGAATGTAGTTAAAAGCAAACCATGTACCTGTGCCACAAACTCTGCCCCTGTCTGGCTCCTTTCGACACTAGCAAAGACAAATGTGCAGCATAAACTGTCAACATAAAGATGAACATTGTTCCAAACCCTTGTGCCTTGATATGCTTCCTAAAATCCATACTTATTTACTAGCTTTGATATGGTAATAAAAGTGTTATGGTGAGTGAAGCAAGCAGGACCCAAATGCAGATTGATATACCTTTATTTCAAGGTTTGTCGGTGACAAAAAACAGGACACTACCCTGAGAACACAGTCTCAGACAAATGACGAACCAACACTGAACACAGAAAGAGACAAGACTAAATACAGGGAGGGGTAATCACGAGACGAGAAACAGCCGGGCAGGGGAGGAGAAACACAAGAGCCTCATCCCAATACCCCTCCTCGACTCCTCCTTTCCCTCACTCGCGTCCCTTCCTTGCATCTTAGCTCTGCCTCCGTAAGATGCGAGCGAGGGACACGAGGAGGTGACGCGAGGACAGAGGAGTCCTCAGGTATTAATTGGGATCTCCTCGTTCACTCAAACGTCACTTTTAAACGACGTCGTTAATGATGACATGTGCACAGCTGTATCCCCTCTAATCGGGCTTAACTGAATAACCCTTTAGAACCGGCCCATTTCTGGTTAAATATTTAAATGAATGAATGAATCTTTCTCTTGTTAGTCAAGGAATTCAATGTATGATGGTTGGTCCTGCTTTTGTGTTCCGTTTTGGTGTAAAATGTAGCCTACATTTAAATACAAATATAATTATAGTGATGTGAAAGCCCTCTTAGAAATAAATTGCACATAATAATTCCCACGGAGCTGTGAGCACTTATACATTTATGTGACGCTTTTCCACTCATCTTCCAGTTGTCGGTTCTCCTCTGTTGAAATCGACCAGCTGTGAAGGTGGGGGCGGGGCTTTTATACGCGAGTAGTGAAACACTTCCGCGTAGTCTGCTCGCGTGTATCCTCCCTCCCTTTCGTCTCCTCCCTCACCCCTCCTCGACTCCTCCGTGTGGATTTCAGCTATTGGGACGCTCCTTCAAAATAGGCGCGTCTTGATCGATTCCGGGCAAGTCCCGGGAGGAGGGAAGATGAGGAGTCGAGGAGTGGGTATTGGGAGGAGACGAAAGGGAGGATACACGCGAGCAGACTACGCGGAAGTGTTTCACTACTCGCGTATAAAAGCCCCGCCCCCACCTTCACAGCTGGTCGATTTCAACAGAGGAGAACCGACAACTGGAAGATGAGTGGAAAAGCGTCACATAAATGTATAAGTGCTCACAGCTCCGTGGGAATTATTATGTGCAATTTATTTCTAAGAGGGCTTTCACATCACTATAATTATATTTGTATTTAAATGTAGGCTACATTTTACACCAAAACGGAACACAAAAGCAGGACCAACCATCATACATTGAATTCCTTGACTAACAAGAGAAAGATTCATTCATTCATTTAAATATTTAACCAGAAATGGGCCGGTTCTAAAGGGTTATTCAGTTAAGCCCGATTAGAGGGGATACAGCTGTGCACATGTCATCATTAACGACGTCGTTTAAAAGTGACGTTTGAGTGAACGAGGAGATCCCAATTAATACCTGAGGACTCCTCTGTCCTCGCGTCACCTCCTCGTGTCCCTCGCTCGCATCTTACGGAGGCAGAGCTAAGATGCAAGGAAGGGACGCGAGTGAGGGAAAGGAGGAGTCGAGGAGGGGTATTGGGATGAGGCTCTTGTGTTTCTCCTCCCCTGCCCGGCTGTTTCTCGTCTCGTGATTACCCCTCCCTGTATTTAGTCTTGTCTCTTTCTGTGTTCAGTGTTGGTTCGTCATTTGTCTGAGACTGTGTTCTCAGGGTAGTGTCCTGTTTTTTGTCACCGACAAACCTTGAAATAAAGGTATATCAATCTGCATTTGGGTCCTGCTTGCTTCACTCACCATAACACTTTTATTACCATATCAAAGCTAGTAAATAAGTATGGATTTTAGGAAGCATATCAAGGCACAAGGGTTTGGAACAATGTTCATCTTTATGTTGACAGTTTATGCTGCACATTTGTCTTTGCTAGTGTCGAAAGGAGCCAGACAGGGGCAGAGTTTGTGGCACAGGTACATGGTTTGCTTTTAACTACATTCAAATGAGAAAAGGTCTGGATCTTCTTACAATGTAACTGCACAAAAGAAAGAAAAAAGAACTGNCACTCCTTTTTAAACATTCATCTATTAACACCTTTCTGCTCAGCCACCCGGTGTCAAAACTCCTGCAGACTTTATCATGATGAAAAACACTGCAAATCATTACCTGCTGTGTGCTACATACACTTTGGCTCTCTCCAGCTCCCCTACTGTCTTTCTAGTTTTTTCCCCATTTCTCTGTTTCTTTCCTCTCTGCTGAGGAGAGAATACACAATCCAGAGAGAGAGTCATAGAGAAAGAAAGAGAACCGAAGGCAATGCAGAGCGAAAGAGAGAACAAACATGTCAGGGATAAGGGAGAGGATCGATGTGAGAGACAGATGGGGGGGAGATATAAAGTGGAAAGTAGGTGCTTAGTCAGCAACAGGGCTTCCCGTCGGGGGAGGCCTTAGGCTCCAGCGCAGAATTGAACTGGGATCTCCGAAGCCCCCTGTAGCCCCTGTATAGATGCACAGCAGAAATAAAAGTAGCTGGAAAGAGGCTCATGTATTTGTTTGCCAAGACTTTATCGTCATTCTTTAATAATTTATAACAAGTGGCTGACCGTACAGTTGCAGGATAATCCTGTTTCTTTATCATTTGCTTGTGAATACCTAGTAAACTCCCCTTGCTAATTTTTTAGACCAAAAATAGTTACCGGCACATTTAACTGTCATATGTGTCTTTGGTCATCTCTTTAGTAAAGTAAGGTCTTCTTTACAGACATCACCTATGCGTGAAAGACTGGTCACAAAAAACAGGTCACAAAAGTAGATTTATCAACATATTTTGAGGTTGCATTTCTTTCTTTCTTGTCAAAGGATGACGTCAATTGGAAAGCAGTGCCTGCTAAACTATCTTAAGACTGCTAGAAATAGGATACGATAATAAATATTTCAGACTTGATCTGACAAAGTGAGTCACAGCAGCTCCATTTGCAACATCAACAAGGAAAAATGTTTAGGACAAGAAACAAAGGAACTTAAATCGAACATAACATTATAATCACTGAAGACAATAGGTTCAAGATAAGAAGTACTTTATTGATCCCGATTTGGGAAAGGTTTGTGTTGCATTGTGTTGTAGCATAAAAAGACATGGCATTGTATTCAAGACCCTTAAACCTACACTTAACATGGGATTTAACTGTATTTGATTTGATGACTGCACAAAAGATTGCTTCAGCCTAACCTTTTTAAATGGTATAATCCTGTTTATCCGATTTGTTTGAAATGACACATATTGGCTGTTCAGGACATGTTTGGGGTCAGACACAATGTTGTTGGCAAGCCTCAATATGTTGGGAAAGGGTTGGGACTAGCAGAAGCATATAGCCGCTGTCTTATCCCTGAGGATGAGTGTGATTTTGTTTCTGGAATGATCAACTAGCAGGGATTCACTCTCAATACAGCCCTGTGTGAAAGCAGCGTGTTGTCCCAGGTGCCTGTGAGACCATGACACCAAACCCAGCACATCAGATGCCAAAACACTGCACAGAGATTTATACTCAGACAGGATTTTATGACTTAGGGCGGGACGTTTTTGATCTTTCATCACATAGATATGTAGGTAAACAAATGGGATACAGCGAAGTCATCTTCCAGAAGTGTTGCATGTATGAGACTTGCTAATGCACCTATTTACCTTCATCATGTTGCATCACAGCAGCATAACGCTTTTTTGCATAATGTCAGATCATTCAAACAGTTCAATAATTGCATTTTCATAGGAGGTGCGTTGGCAAGATTAAACCAATTTGCTGCGGAACCTATTTTCACCAGTCCTGATGTCTGTGCACATTTCCCCAACCTCTTTACCCCATGCTAAGTTCCTCATAAACGCGCTTCAAGAATCGGAAGCTTAATAATAATAATAATAATAATAATAATAATAATAGCCGCAAAAACACAACCCGCTGTGTCTCAAGATGCCATCCATATGTGTAATTATGTCGCTATCGTGTTGGACCCACTACTAAATTAGGCATACTTGTGGTAATTAACTTCATATACGCATAGTTAAAAAATGCCAGTTGCAATTATAGTGTTTCATTCCATTTTATTAGCTGTTTTTTGCTCTTTTGTGCAGGAACTGGATGTACTAAAACACTAAGAAATGTTTCCTTTTGTTCAGTCCATATCAAATGCCTGATCACACGGTGATCACATCCTTACATCTTAAAAGAAATGCATCTTTGAGGAAGTTTGGAGGATTTGCTTTGATCAGGTATTATCTGCTCTAGAAATGACTGAAACTCCATTTTCTTCTCACCACTTTAGTAATCTGAAAATCCAACATTTCATCTGTTCGTGAAGTTGTGAACTTCTAATTAGTATGCAGAGTTTCTGCTGTGCTCAGTCGCACTTCTGCTTAATGTAGTGGCTGATAAAAACAGGCACAATCAGCTTCACACTGCCTATTATGTGACAAAAGAAATGAGAGTAATCAGTTAAATCCAGTGGCTAAATAAAATGAAAGCGAAATAAAATATAGCATTCTCAGAATTTAAGTTATTTTTTACACGGAGCTCAAATTTAAGAAACAAAATAATAGAAATATGTTTTCATCGTAAATGTTAAGTGTTATGGCCTTTGTTATATTACGACAGAAGTTTAATTGTCAGCCATTTTTTGGTTTGTTTACAAATGAGTGTTAATAGGGACACTTCCCGTGAAACGTTTACCAGCACACCACCTGTTTTTTTTTAACAGAAAGACTGATATGATCATTCTTATCAACATTTTCAATTATTTTCTTCCAGGTGAGGAGTATTTTCCAGAGGTCTTACGGGGAGGTAGTGACGCTGTGCCCTCCGGAAGAAGAGGACAGGAGGAGCTTCTTCTCTGACCTGCTGCTGGAGCAAGCAGCCAGGCCTCCACCACGCCTCAAGAATCAAGGTACCATCTGTAATCAATTTGACATATACTTAGGCCCCATTTACACGAGGACGAAACGGGTACGTTTGCGTTTACACTCCGAATTCGTCTCAATTAACGTTTCCGTTCACACCATAGACGTTCACACGAGACAGCTCGACCCGCTGGAAACGCTGTAGTACATATGCCGGGCCTGTAAGTGACGCTGCTGCCGCCACAAAATACACCAACAGCAGCGAAGAAGACCGCGGAGCATGGTTGCCATGGTTGCCCTTCTGTTTATTCTCCGCGGTGGACGGCGTGTTCTCCTGCTGTATCTCTCAGGTAGTCCACCAGCAGATGAAAAACACCCACCTCTCCGCCTCTTCCAAGGGACGAGGGAACCGTGCGGCAGAGTTTCCGTTAACATGTTTTTTCCGCCGGTCAACATGTACTGCGGCATAAAGTTTAAATATTCCGGACAAAATTAGAAAAGTGCCGGTCAGAGGTCTTCTTTGTTATTTATTGAGCTTTAAAACAAATTGATAACGACTCTATATAATAATATAAGAATAATAAACGGAGCCTCTCTTTTCCTCCCCCTCTTCTGACAGCCCAGCAGCTTATCTTTGAGCATCGTTATCAGAAAATGATCGTATAGGGCGTACACACGGAGCCGTTTGCCCCCCCAGAGCGTTCCGTTTGCAGATCCATCCACCTTGGGACCCGTTATCGTTTGTGGGGTCCGTTTACGCGTTTACGTGTCGGCCTCGTGTGAACGAACGGGCTATACGTGAGAGAAAAGTAGCAGATACAACCCGTTTTGTCCTCGTGTAAACGGCACCTTAGGAGGATACAGCTGTGACTCCTCTCTGCTGTCAGAACTAGAGGGCAGTGTTGTCTGCATTTGATTCAGGGAAAGGTAAAGGAGCAGATGTTGTTTAATTTGCAACATTATGTGTGTGGATAACCAATCACACATATGGCACATAGCAGTTAAATGATGACATGTTGATAATCTGTTCAATTTAGTTTTAGGAGGACACAAATATACAGATGTAAGATAAGGGTGTAAGTATATAATTGGCCGGGGTGAAACCTGTAGGGCTGCACAAATCCTTTTTTTAAATATTAAAATCACTGCAATATCTAACTCGGTAAGCACAGTATTTTGCAATGACATAATATATTAAAAGTCCCGGGTTTCTACTGACAAAAATCCTTGTTCGGTACAGATCTTAAAACATCGCAACATGAACACAAATCTATATTTGAATGATAATGTTTCAAAATGATCAATCCCTCTTATAGCATAACAAAAGATTGCAATTTCAGTAAAAATAAATGCTAATAAATTGTGCAGCCCTAGAATCCAGTTTTTTCCTGGATATCACCATCCCCCACCCACATCAACATAAGCAACCTTCTTCCAACCCCCCCCAAATACGACCTGCCATTGCCCCAGTACTCACTAGTCCCCCATCCCCGGGATCTGGTTAAATATGAGAGAACTGTCCACCAAGGCTTTCAAATGGAAATTGTGCTCGCTGTTCATCCTCAGTTTGCTCATTGATGCAAGGCAGGGGTCCCCCGCTTTACTCACCCGCTGCTCTTCAGGGGTTCCTGCCTGACTAAGACTGCAGTCCCGCTTCCAGCAGAGAGACCGGCAGAAAAGCGGGGAAAGGAATTGAAACGAGGGGCCGGCTGCTATTAGCCATAATTAGAATCAGGGTTTTGATGGCTGCTGGTGAGCGGTGCACGGTGCTGCGGAGCCTTCCTAACGATATCGGCAGATGCCTTGGGCGAGGACTGGCGCCTTGGGAGAGGAGGAGAGGAGATCTGCTTGCCTTGCATCATCACTCTGTCATTGGCCAGAGGCTTTTCCTTAGTGTATTTCAAAACCTTTGTTTGGGAAGGAGCAGTGTTCTGTTATTTTTTTGCAGCTGCGAGAATCTTAAAACATGTTTTTTCCCCCCTGGGCTGAATAACTTTTAAGTCTGTGTTGGCAATGATAATAAAAGAGAATGGTCAAGGATCAGGTTTGAGTCAACACCGTCTGTTGATCACTTCCAGCCAGTGGGCATACAGTGGGCAAAAAAGTATTTAGTCAGCCACCAATTGTGCAAGTTCTCCCAGTTAAAAAGATGAGAGAGGCCTTTAACTTTCATCCTAGGTATACCTCAACTATGAGAGACAAAATGAGAAAAAAAAAATCCAGAAAATCACATTGTCTGATTTTTAAAGAATTTATTTGCAAATGATGGTGGAAAATAAGTATTTGGCCAATAACAAAAGTTCATCTCAATACTTTGTTATATGCCCTTTGTTGGCAATGACAGAGGTCAAACGTTTTCTGTAAGTCTTCACAAGGTTTTCACACACTGTTGCTGGTATTTTGGCCCATTCCTCCATGCAGATCTCCTCTAGAGCAGTGATGTTTTGGGGCTGTCGCTGGGCAACACGGACTTTCAACTCCCTCCAAAGATTTTCTATGGGGTTGAGATCTGGAGACTGGCTAGGCCACTCCAGGACCTTGAAATGCTTCTTACGAAGCCACTCCTTCGTTGCCCGGGCGGTGTGTTTGGGATCATTGTCATGCTGAAAGACCCAGCCACGTTTCATCTTCAATGCCCTTGCTGATGGAAGGAGGTTGTCACTCAAAATCTCACGATACATGGCCCCATTCATTCTTTCCTTTACACGGATCAGTCGTCCTGGTCCCTTTGCAGAAANAAGAATTTAAATTAAAACGCTGCAAACATGTGTACGGTCCTTATGGAATTGCTTGGAGGTGCGGCAGTGGCGTTCTGTGCTCTCCGTCAGAAGCACCTCTGTCAGAACGAGCCATGTACCACGTGATGACAGTTAGGACTCGTGTTGTGTTCAAGGACCTGACCTTGTTCAGAAAAACAGGGCACTCGCTTTTTTTTTAATTTGTTTTTGGCGGTCTAGATTTCTTTACATTTTTTCTTTTTTGCGTGTGTTTTATAAATATACCTCGAAGGGCGTACCAAATGGGTCTCGCGGGCCGTATACGGACCATATGACATTCTCCCAATCCTCTTCTGGATCATCTAAATGCTCTCTAGCAAACTTCAGACGGGCCTGGACATGTACTGGCTTAAGCAGGGGGACACGTCTGGCACTGCAGGATTTGAGTCCCTGGCGGCGTAGTGTGTTACTGATGGTAGCCTTTGTTACTTTGGTCCCAGCTCTCTGCAGGTCATTGACTAGGTCCCCCCGTGTGGTTCTGGGATTTATGCTCACCGTTCTTGTGATCATTTTGACCCCACGGGGTGAGATCTTGCGTGGAGCCCCAGATCGAGGGAGATTATCAGTGGTCTTGTATGTCTTCCATTTTCTAATAATTGCTCCCACAGTTGATTTCTTCACACCAAGCTGCTTACCTATTGCAGATTCAGTCTTCCCAGCCTGGTGCAGGTCTACAATTTTGTTTCTGGTGTCCTTTGACAGCTCTTTGGTCTTGGCCATAGTGGAGTTTGGAGTGTGACTGTTTGAGGTTGTGGACAGGTGTATTTTATACTGATAACAAGTTCAAACAGGTGCCATTAATACAGTTAACAAGTGGAGGACAGAAGAGGCTCTTAAAGAAGAAGTTACAGGTCTGTGAGAGCCAGAAATCTTGTTTGTTTGTAGGTGACCAAATACTTATTTTACCGAGGAATTTACCAATTAATTCATTAAAAATCCTACAATGTGATTTCCTGGATTCTTTCCCCCCATTCTGTCTCTCATAGTTGAAGTGTATCTAGGGTGAAAATTACAGGCCTCTCATCTTTTTAAGTTGGAGAACTTGTACAATTGGTGGCTGACTAAATACTTTTTTGCCCCACTGTATGTGTGTTTTTAGTTTACATTTAATTTCAAACCTTTATTTAACCAGATTGGTCCCATTGAGATCATAGATCTCTTTTTCAAGGGAGACCTGCAGCATATAGGTTCCACATGAAACATAAAACAATAAAGGACATCATACATTATATTTACAGGATACATTTACATAGTTATAGACATTGATTGGATAGTTAGTGTAGCAATTTTTCGTGTAGTTGAAGTCTTTGGTTGCTATAGGCAAACGTTGAAAGTTTTATTACTTTATTTTGTCTTTCAATCGCTCTTGGTTTGAGATTTCTCAGGCTTGTTCATGGATTGAAGGGGTGTGAAGACATTATTTAGTTATAAAACGTCTCTGTTTTTGCCTCAAACTGTTTTTGCTTCTCCTCTGACAGGGAGGTGTGAAGAGGTTCTGCCAGCGGCTGAGGCTCCGGGGCCCAGAGTCCTGTCAACAGAGGAACAGCGCCGCCTGGCTGAGCAGGAGGAGAACACACTACGCGAGCTCAGGCTCTTTCTCAGGGACGTGACCAAGCGCCTGGCCACCGACAAACGTTTTAACATCTTCAGCAAGCCAGTTGACATCGATGAGGTAAAGAGGAAGTGCCCCACGCCCTGGTACCCCACTCACAGTTGACTATTAATAAAATGTACTTTGTCCGTTAGGTGTCTGACTACATGGAGGTGATTCTGCAGCCCATGGATCTGTCCACCATCATGACCAAGATTGACACCCACCAGTACCTGAGGGTGAAGGACTTCCTGGGAGACATCGATCTCATCTGCAGTAATGCTTTAGAATACAACCCTGACAAGGATCCTGGAGGTGAGGAGGAACAATTACACTGGCATGCACATGAATACACTCAGGAAATGTACACATGAAATGCAAAATATGTAAATGCTTGCACTACCATCAACCATGTGCCTACTAGCATAAACACAATCTATGCATTTTAAACATGAAAAAACTGTGAATTCACCCAAATGTTTTAGAATTTGGATTTGAATCGCAAAATTATCCCTTAAACTGTAATTAGTAGTTATCTAAAATCAACCTGTCACACTTATTTTTCCCAAATGAAAGTTCTTTAATTCATGCGATGGCGTATGACAGTCTCTTGGCATTTAACTACCCAAATAAGTGTGACCATGCGTCTCTGTAGTTACTGTTGTGTTCCCTTTGGCTGTCATTGTGTGAATAAAAAGTAATTAGATTGAACATATAATGAGTTATGAGTAGAGCTTCCAGGCAGTGCAATTACAGAAGCTCGAGATGTTTTTTCTTTCTCTTTTTTTTTACATGAAAATTCGAATGAAATAAAGTGCAAAAACCCCCTGCTGAAAATACATTCCCACCGTGTAATTCATGCTCCGTGGATGAGAAAGGCTGCATATGCATGAACATTTAATTGTCTCTTGTCTTGCAGTTTGAACCCATTTTTACATCACCCTCCTTCTTGTCTCAGCACCTTTTCCCCAAAGCTAAATATGGCCTTCATTATGAGCGCTGGAACACACACACTGTATGTGCACACACACCTTGCAATCACTTACTCATACATATGATTTAGATTTGCTGTTTGAATGGGGAACTATCTTGCATGGTGGGGAAATGCCCGTGTTAAGAGACATGCATTTTTGTGTAAAAATGGTCTAAAAATGTTTGAAGAGCATTTGTTGGACACACCTTTTTTTATGCCTGAGTCAAATCCCCCAAAAGAAAAAGATGTTCTTGTAATTAAAAACCACATTCAGTTGGCCTTTCTTCATACTATCCAATTGAGATAACCATTTAAAATGTGGCTTTGTGTGTTTAGCGGCTTGCTGCACTCTCCAGGATATAGTCTTGCACCTCGCACTAATGGGAAGCAATTCTTTGTCTGCCCAAATTAATAAATCATATCTCTCTTTGCAGGCGAGGGTCATTTGTTGGAATGCAGGGTCTACAAATAACCCACTAAAGAAAAAAAAAATGCAATTAGGCAGTTTAATAATAAAAGACTAACAAATCCCCCCCCCCCCCAGTGCTTGGCCCAGGGAATATGGCCCGGCACAATTAGTGTAAAAGGGAAAAAGTGCTGGGGAAAAAAGCTCATTATCCCTCAGTGGTCGGTTTCTCCTTGTACTCCCTGCTATCTTCATCGTGCCGTCCTCCCCATGCAATCATGTTCCTTGTCTCTTACCTCCTCACCTCGCTAAATAATTACTTGGTTATGTTGAAAGGCTGATATCTCCGTGCTCCGCGATGTGACTCGGTGTCATGAATACTTTGTTGTTCAGGGGAAATGGTGATAAGAACATTTTTCCTATGAAAGAAGCGTAAGCAACAGCTTTGTTCCTTCCTAACTGTTGGAGGTTTTGAGGTTAGGCAGGGCCCATAAGGGTTCTGATGAGCTCTCGCCATCCTACCTGGCCTTTGACTCCTCTTCCTCTGACAGGCATTTTGTCCCCCAATGCACGTACACAAACTGTCAGTAGAAAAACACACGCACACACAAATTGCCTCCACTGCAATTAGGCAGCCTTCTTCCAATTAGACAAAGGAAGCTGGCAGATTGTGACCCCTCTGCCACTCTGCCTGAACTGTTCCCCCTCTGCCTGCCGTAATGAGAGACTGCCTGTTTACAGCGCCTTTTAGCCTGCGTCTTCAGCAAGGTCTCTATTTTCCCTCAATAGATGCAGGAGCGGGTAAGAAGGAGGATTTTAATGATGCTTTGCTACATCTAAGGGAAAAGACGCATAAGAGTTGTGAAGGTGTAAGGAGTGTGAAAAGAATGAGTACGCAATAAAAAAAAATTCAGTTTGCATGTCTGTGTGTATGCACACACCTCTGTCTTTACTGGCTGAAGTGGTGGTATCAAGAATCTCATACATCTCTGACTTTTGCCCGCTAACACTTTTTACCAAAGCCAACTCGATCCCTTTTTTTTTTTCAACCTGTGAGAAAACGTTACAAGCCCCTTTCTCACAGATACAGGGGAAAGGGGCGCGCTGCTATCAAGTCTAAGCCTCCATTTACATACATGACGGGGTGTGGAGAACATGCAACCCCAAACTGCAAACTACAAGGTGACATAAAAAGGAACTCACATTTAGCCCAAAGACTATATTCAGTATGTCTAAGAGAAAAAGGGCAATTTGTTCTGATTTGTCTAAAGCCTTGAATTCTAGTAGAGATAAATTGTGCTTTCCTTTTTTACACTATATATATTTTCATATCTTGGATATTCAATTTGTAACCAATGAGTTCATACAGCGGGTACCAGATACCTGATTGTGCCTTTTGTAGTTTCTGAGATACAGCCATTTTAGTCTCTAACTGTATACAACATTTGGGAACATGAGACAACTGTTTCTTTCTAAAATATGACGAACTACAATTGCTGACTTAGAGCGCAGACCTCCGCCAAGGCAAAATGCCCCATCTTGCAATTTTAATGAAAGTTGTTTGTGTATTCCCTCCCTGTTTTCCGAACATTTAATGGGCCCTTTCTTGGCCTCATGCTACAGCCTTCACCACATTTCATGGAAATTGGGTGTCATTTGTCTGTAATTCTGCTGACAAACTAACAAAACCAAAAACATAACCTCCCTGGTCCCAAACTCTAAACATCGTATGGTAAGAAAAATGTACTTATTGTACTGCTTGATTGGGCTTAATCAAGCCCAGAGAATAGTACCACTATGGGCACAACAGGGTTTCCGCTAGGATTTTTTTTTGCCGGTCAAATGTCCGAACAGAATTTATTTTACCGGACAAATTTGAAACTTACCGGTCATGTTTCAATAATAATAATAATAATAATTAGAATTGTGTAGCAGAGTTTCCGTTAGCAGGTAATTACCGGACTAGGACCGGATATGCTGATGTTTAAAACTCAGTTAATGGGAGTCATTTTTATATTGCTTCAGTTTATAATCGTAACAGATCGAAAAATTCAGATTCGTTTTTTAATAAATGATTCCACAAACAACATAATTATTACATCCAAAGAAACTACTTGTAGTAGAAGTACATTATTCAAAAGTTTACATTAACTTTGAATAATAACACGGGAGAAACGGATCCTCTCTTTTCCCCTCTCCCTCCCTCTCTCTCCTGACAGCCCGTCAGTTTCTCATGCAGCACGCTAAACAGTGGGCAGGACTTCAGGTGATTATGGAGCAGCTGATCTGAGCAGCTGATCTCTCTCTCTCGCGTCCGGTTACACTTCACTCGCGTTTATGTCCATATCGATCAGATCCAGCTCTCCTGATCGGCCTTTATAGAGAGCACAGATCAAACTATTAAGAGTGAATATCGGCCGATAATGACCGGCGGCCAATCGATCGGAGCATCGGACATTTTGACCAGCAGGTTTTGAATTTACCGGTTTGTATTCAATTTTACCAGCTAAAAACTGGTAATTACCGGCTAACGGAAACCCTGGGGCACAAATGAAAATGTCAGAATTACTGGTTGAATATCCTGTGTTTATAAAACACATGTACTCACAGAAAACCACAGTTTCGTGTCTTGTGACCTTAATGTTATGCTGTCTCTTCCTTTTTCAGACAAGGTGATCCGGCACCGAGCAAGCAGTTTAAAGGACACCGCTCACGCTATATTTGCTGCCGAGCTGGACCCAGAGTTCGACCGCATGTGCGAAGAAATCAAAGAGGCGCGCTGGAAGAAAGGTAAGGAATAGCAGAAACATAGCAACATGTGACACATGTCTTTAAGCCATTTTAACAACAGACTACCTAAATACTAACACTGTTGTGAAGGTTATGAGCAATTCCATTATCATGATCACCTCTTTCTAATTATACCTACTTTTCATCATTAATAACTTTTAAACCAATGCAAATATTATAATGTTTACATATTATTGTTTTTAATTGTTCAATTTGCACATTTTTACTTTATAAACATAACATTTTTACTTTAAGTTCTAGAGATATTTTCGTTTAATTTGATCTTTTTATTTACACATTTTTAAATGAACTATTTAATTCTTTTTTGTCAGAATTAAATACTCGTCTTCTAATGAAAGGCACAGCTTTGCAAAATCATACACTTTAATAATTGCAATTACCATAATTTTAGGACTATAAGCCGCGCCTTTTCCCCCATTTTTCGACCCTGCGGCTTATATAACGGTGCGGCTAATCTATGGATTTTTACAGCTAACGGCCACTAGGGGACCTCCTAAATCTATGGATTTTACAGGTTACAGTCCACCACCTTTAACTCTATGGGCTCTATGGCCGGCCCCCCACCTTTAAGCGGCGGGCTCCAGCAGGAAAAGCTGGAGGCCGGAAAAGAGTGAGACAGGTAGCGCGCAAAAGTAAAAGTGGAACCGAGAGTGGTACGAGAGACAGAACGAGAGCAAGACAGACAGACATTACGAGAGCGAGACAGTTTGTCCCCGTACCACTGGTTGAAAACCACTGCTGTAGATCACTGCCGGTACGGAGAGCGCACCGTTTAAGTTTGAAAGTTGAAAAGTTTGTGTGTCTGAAACGCTATGTGATACAGTACAGTTTACACAGCACAGTACATGTTCTGTAGCTACTATTGCACTAAATGGTAACACTTGAATACGTTATGCAAATATGCAACTTGTTTGTTGAAATGTTAATAAATGGGAGCTTCCTCAAACAGCCATCTCTTTCCCGACAATCCCCTCTGTGCACGAACCCTTACATATGGTAATTAAACATTAAAACCACCTGCGGCTTATAGTCCAGTGCGGCTTATATATGTACACATCATTCAATTTAGCTGCTGCGGCTTATATTCAGGTGCGCCTTATAGACCGAAAATTACGGTAATTTAAATGTTATTAGTAACCATAGTTGCACCTTACTTCTTTAAAAATGAAACCATGTGATTTTCTGGATTTTTTTTCTTCTCATTTTGTCTCTCATAGTTGAGGTATACCTAGGATGAAAAT